TTAAAGTAATGGAACCGATTCAGAATTCCACACCTAGGAATTTGTTGCAAGGATCTTTTTGGAGATGCACACAGATTTATATACAAGAATATTTACTGCAGCGTTATTTAAAATAGAAATTCCTTAAAATAGCCTAGATTGCTAAAATTAGAAAAATAATACAATACAAAAATACAAAGATAGTGCAAGGAGCCTCTGGGACAGCTTCAAGCATACCAACATGCGAATTATAGGGGTGCCAGAAGAAGAGAGAGAGATAGAGCAAGATATTGAAAACCTATTTGAAGAAATAATGACAGAAAACTTCCCCCACCTGGTGAAAGAAATAGACTTATGAATCCAGGAAGCACAGAGATCTCCAAACAAAAGGAATCCAAAGAGGACCACACCAAGACACATCATAATTAAAATGCCAAGGGCAAAAGACAAAGAGAGAATCTTAAAAGCACCAAGAGAAAAACAGTTAGTTACCTACAAGGGAGTACCCATACGACTGTCAGCTGATTTCTCAACAGAAACTATGCAGGCAGAAGGGAGTGGCAAGAAATTTTCAAAGTGATGAATAGCAAGAAACTACAACCAAGATTACTCTACCCAGCAAAGCTATCATTTAGAATTGAAGGTCAGAGAAAGAGCTTCACAGACAAGAAAAAGCTAGAGTTCATCACCACCAAACCAATATTACATGAAATGCTGAAGGGTATTCTTTAAGAAGAGGAAGAAGAAGAAAAAGGTAAAGATAAAAATTATGAACACCAAAGTGACAACAAATACATATCCGTCAACAAGTGAATCTAAAAATCAAGTAAATAAAAAATCTGATGAACAGAATAAACTGGTGAATAGAATAGAATCAGGGGCATAGAAAGGGAGTGGACTGACAATTCTCGGGGGAAAGGGAGTGTGGGGGGTGCAGGAAGAGTCTGGCCAAAAAGCATACACCTATAGAGGAGGACAATGGGGGGGCGGGGGGTGGTAAGGATAGGGAGTGGGGTTGGAACCAGGTGGAGGGGAGCTATGGGGGGAAAAAGAGGAACAAGTGTAATAATCTGAACAATAAAGATTTATTTTAAGAAGAAAAAAAAAAGAAAGCAGATGGCTCCTCTCTTTTGCCCTGGCTTTGCCTAAAATCAGATAAGCAGAATGTAGTTCTTTTTAGTGTTTGCGAGGGCTCCAGCAGGATCTAAAGGAGCCCTCCCCACCCCCAGCGGACTTGTGCTGTGTTAGATGGAGATAAAGAGTTTGGTGTTGATATTTGTAATCACTATATTTTGAAATACTGAATGAGGAAATAGTTTACCTCATCCCCCCCTCCCCCCAAATATCACACTTCATTAAATTGATTTGTAAGTATTCCTGGAATTTAAACAAAATTTGTGTGCATGGTACAGTCAACCCGGTATTGTTGAATCATCATAAGTTTAAAAATCTCATTACCAATGGAGATGTAAATGATATTGTCTTTTACTTGTTGAGAGAGTTGATGTTATCTAATAGCAGTCATTCTGGAATGTTCCTGTCTTGTGGAGTGGGCCTGGGACTTTGTATTTGCACACCCTCACCTCCCTGACCCCCCTCGAACAGTTGATGCTGAAGCTGTGGGTCAGTCAGGGAACCTGGCTTTGAAAAACAAGTTGGTGCCACTGTGAGAAAGGAGTGGCGCCTCAGCACCACTGGCTCCAGGTTGGCTCTGCAGCACAGGAGGACTTTTCTACAGTGTGCGAGACCCCAGGGGCCTGACCCATACTCAGCCCCTTAATAGGCCATGCCCTCCTGAGCTTCTAGGCCAGACTCATCGTGTCCGGCTTTTAGCAAGGAAAATAATAAATAAATTTTATTAACATCGAGGCCCACACAACCTAAATTAGTTCTTTTTTGTTGTTGTTAATCCTCACCCGAGGATATTTTTTCATTGATTTTTAGGGAGAGTGGAAGAGAGAGGGAAAGACAGAGAGAAACATCAATGTGAGAGAAACACATCAATTGGTTGCCTCCTCCACGAGCCCCAACCAGGGTCCGGGCTGGGGAGGATCCTGAAACAGGTACGTGCCCTTGCCCAGAATCGATCCCGGGACTTTCTGGTCCACAGGCTGACACTCTATCCACTGAGCCAAACCAGCTAGGGCCTAAATTAGTTCTTGAGGGGCCTTGGCTCCCCTCTTTCTAACTCTCCAGCTCCTACAGTCAGGCCTTGGCTGCCCTCACCCGCCTGCACTCTCATCTTGGTTCATTGTAACTCCCAGTCTCCCGAGCCTCCTATCCTACCCAGGGGTACAAATCAGGCCTCCACACACTCATTACATAGTTAGGGTTTGCTACGAATCAGGCACTGTGCAAAGTGCCTCCATGCATTGCTCTCTTAATTTGCACATTTACTAAGCAGTTAGGTAATATCGTCGGCCCCATTTTTCAGGCAGCTCCCAGAAACAGGGGTTTGTCTCCAAATCTGTGGCCCACTCCGGCTGCTCCAGCTGTCCTGCACTGACCTCTCTAACTCACAGAGCCCTGGTGAAGTGGCCCCATGCGCCTCCTACCTGTGGAGATGCAGGACTTGTCGTTATCATCCAGGATGTACCCGCTGGCGCAAGAACACACCACGGAAATCTCCTCTCTGCAGAACTGGTCACAGTCCCCGTTGTTCCGGCTGCAGAACTTTCCCATGGCTGTAAGGGACGCATGTTGGTTCTCAGGACTGGCTGGGGAAATGAGGCTGCAGCTGGCCAGGAAAAAGCAGAGCAGCCCCAGGGGGACATACACCCACCATGAGCCCTACAGCAGCCACCTGGCTAGAACAAAAGGCCGGAGCCACATGGCCCATGCACATCAGCTGGTGCAAACAGGATGGGCTGCCCAGAGCAGCTGGTGGGGTGAGAGGACCATGCCTGTGCGTGTGCTCTTCTCACTGTCCAGGCTGCCTGGGGAAACCATGGCGTACAGTTAGGGCGAGAGCTGAGTATCTGCCGGGCCCCGGCACCAGCCTTCCAGGAGGTCCTTAAATAATCTGAACGTGGCCAGTGAGGGCCCTGGAGGCTGGAAGGGTCTTAAGTTCAGCGCTAAGAAGGCACATGGGTCCTGACCAGCTTGGAAGGGCTGCCTGCAGGAGGGGGGGTTCCAGGCCAGGGGCTCAAGAGGAGCCTGGTGGAGTGGCCAGAGGCCCACCCGCTCTGAGGCTAGAAGAGTCCCTGTGTAATAAGGGTCTCAGAGACTGGGGTCTGGGCCCCAGTGCGGTGGGAAGAAGAAACAAAACAGGCAGTGCACATCCTGGAGGCAGGCCAACCTGAGTGCCAAAATGACCCTTCTGTCACTTGTGTGATTTGAGCAACTTATTTCAACCTACGGGCCTGGGTTTCCTCACTTGTAAAGTGGTGGAGGCCGTACCACCTCACAGGATAACCTCACGGGTCACGGGAAGCTCTTGGCTCAGTGTCCGTGTGAAGCCGTGTCTCCCTGGACCTCAGATCCGCAGCTCTGCCTGAGCCAGAATCACCCACCTGCTTCCTGTGTGCACTGAACTCAACCTCCAAACTCACATCAGTGATGCTACCCTGGCCGTTTACACTCTGCACTGGGTTTTGATGAAAAAGATAATTATAGTGTGAAGATCAACATTAATGAAACTTTAGAAAACATTCACCATGGCCCTAGGGTCAGAGCCAAAAGGTGTGCAAGAGCGGCTGCTCTGGATTGGGATGAAACGATGCCTAATTGATATTCCCGGTAGAAAAAATTCTGAAGTAATCTAATTGAAGAGCACATTCCAAAGATTATAAGTTAAGTAATTTAAAAGAAATGCAAATCTTTCTCTTCAGGGAAATCCGGTTTAATATTAAAGCTAATTTTTATTTAGAAATTAACCAGCATATTAGGAAAACTCCTAGTGACTTTTTCAAGTAAAATTAATTAAATGTTTCAAATTTTTATAATTGGACAATCCCGAACAGTTAGTATTGGCATTTGCACTAATAAATGAGAAGTGTGGTGATTTAGAATCATTGCCCAGGACCACAAGGAATATAAGTAACAACGATGAGGGATACATTCTACTCCAAGAAGGAAGTCAATTCTCGTTTCTCTGTTAGTGGGCCACATGCTTCATGAATGTTCCACAGCCTCTCTCAGAGGAACGGAGAGGTGACTGTGTGTTTCACTGAACTCCAACACTGAGTGGATTGTAGGGCCCTTAATTTTTGTTGTTTTCTGTGACTACAGTGGCCCTTCATAATGGAGCACAGACTGGACATCAGAAGTGACATGAGGTTGTTCCCTTGGACATTTTGACTTTTTCCCTCTTTCCCACATTTGATTCTTCAGGTAACTCGGACTTGAAGGCCTACCAAGAAGAGGAACTCACGTAATTCACAGTTTCTGCCTTCATATCCTTCCTGACAAGTGCAGGTGTATTCCCCAAGGCCGTCCTTACACCTGCCCTGATTCAGGCAGGGATTGCTTTCACACTGGTCACCATCTGCAAAGAAAGGGTTTGGAAACCGAAGCTTGCGGGCAATTTCCATCACTATGGAGATGACTTTGCTGTGTTGATCTTGGCACACATTTTTCAGACAACTCAAATGAACGTGGACTTCTTCCTGTTTCCCTGTAAACAATTTCTCCTAACTGAACTTCACTGTATCCTCACCTTTTGTGGCTCTGTGTACGTGATGCTCTTATCTTACTGGATCATTGACTGAGCTTTCCAGTTTTTGCTGAAATGTTTGACAGCATTTTTACATTAGAGTGAAGAGCTCCAGGAGGTGACTACATGGGACCATCTGGAAGGGGGAAGACATGATTGTCTGACACTGGACAACAGAGATGTTAGGGTTCCTGTTTCCAAATGCTCTGGGGGTAAAATGAGAATGCAGAAACAACCGCCCAGCACCAACACGGGACTTCACATTTCTTGGTGCATTTGTACAATCTAATTTAGAGGTAAGTCCAATAGTCATTTTGAGAAATTTGAATGGTGTTGCCAGAATGAAAACATTAGTCAGGATTAATGCCATTTCAGGTGGTATAAGGGTTGACTCAAGATGGCTACCTTATTATAGGGTCCAATCTTTCTGACTCTATTTTTTTCCTAATATACATGGAATTTTAAAATTATCACTAAATTTGGTATTCTCAAATGAGAATATACTGATTTAAATCTATATGTAAGTGGCAACATTAGGATTAGTGTAAAGTTACTATAAAAAACTATTTTACAATAACTTATGAAAATGCTCAGACGGAACAAGTTAAATACATAGGATTTAAACAGGAACAGAAAGACAATTCAGGAGGCATTTTCAAAGTTCAAACACAATTTCTCCCAACTTAAATATCCTAATGAACTCCTCTCACTTAAGATTAAAATACCATACATCTCACCTTTGTATATATTCCAGAATTCATTCTAAAAGAGAAAAAATATTTTAAAGAACATTAGGGAAAGCACTGACATTTTACACCTATAACAGATTAAAACCTAGTAACTCAACTTGAATAGGATACTTTCCCAAACAGAGGTCATTTTCTGAAACAATCTAAACGGGAAAGTGTTTTAAATCTTCTGTATCTATAAAGGTGCAGATGGTGGCTCAATCACCATCTCTGTTGAATACTGAATGTGTATTTTCAAGTGAGTCTCCAAGAAATGGATTGTACCAAAAATGCTTTGCTCTGTTTGCTACTCCAGTAAATGGTTTTTAGTTGAAGTATTTGGGTCAAAGATTCAATAAAGAAATGAATTATTGGTTAATAATCATGGTAATTTAGAAAATGATAATTGGTAATTAAATCAGGGCATCAAGAGCCTACATTAACTAAAAAATGTTCATAGATTAAAAAAATTTTTTCTGTCTATAGTAGGTTAAATAGTGTCTCCCAACCCTCCAAATTCAGGTGTAAACTCACAATGTGACTTTAATTGGAATAAGGTTTGTGCAGATATAAGTAAGGTATCAATTGAGATGAGATCCTACTGGATTAGGATGGACCCCAAATCAATGAGGGGGTCCTTATAAGAGACAGAAAAGGACACAGACACACGGAGAGAAGGCCATGTGAAGATGGAAGCAGATTGGAGTGATGCATCTACAAGCCAAGGAATGCCAAGGATTGTTGGCAGCCACCATAAGCTAGAAGAGAGGTGTGGAACAGATTCTCCCTCAGGTCTTCCAGAAGGAACAAACCCTGGCGACACCTTAATGTCGAACCTGTGTTTTCTAGCACTGAAAGAAAAAGCATTTTAAGACACCCAGTTTGTGGTTTTATTTTGCTTTATTTATTTGTTTGTTTGTTTGTTTATTTATTTATTTATTTTAGTGTCTTAATGTGGAAGCTTAGAATGTCAATCTGAGACCTTTCTTCTTTTCCAATAAAAACTTTTAATGCTGTAAGTTCCCCTAGAAGCACTATGTTGTATATTCGTTTTTGTTCAGCTGGAAATATTTTCTAATTTCCTTTGAGACTTTCTCTTTGACCTACAAATTATTTAGAAGTGTGCTGTGTGCTGTTTAATTTCCAAATATGTAGAAATTTTCCTGTCACTGATTTTTGGTTAATTTCATTATGGTCAGATAACCTTTTATATGTTTTCTATCTTTAACATCTGTTAAGATGTGTTTTTTTATTAAATCTTTATTGTTTAGATTATTACATTTGTTCCTCTTTTTCCCCTCCTATAACTCTCCTCCACCCAATTCCCACCCACTGTCCTCATTCATAGGTTGGCGATTTTTGTCCAGTCTCTTCCCGCATCCCCCACACCCCTTTCCCCCCCAAGAATAGTCAGTCCATTCCCTTTCTATGCCCCTGATTCTATTATAATCACCAGTTCATTCTGTGCATCAGATTATTTACTCACTTGATTTTTAGATTCACTTGTTGATAAATGTGTATTTGTTGTTCATAATTTGTATCTTTACCTTTTTCTTCTTCTTCCTCTTCTTAAAGAATACCCTTCCGCATTTCGTATAATACTGGTTTGGTGGTGATGAACTCCTTTAGCTTTTTCTTATCTGTGAAGCTCTTTATCTGACCTTCAATTCTGAATGATAGCTTTGCTGGATAAAGTAATCTTGGTTGTAGGTTCTTGGCATTCATCACTTTGAATATTTCTTGCCACTCCCTTCTGGCCTCCAAAGTTTCTGTTGATAAATCAGCTGACAGTCGTATGGGTACTCCCTTGTAGGTAACTGACTTTCTTTCTCTTGCTGCTTTTAAGAGTCTCTCTTTGCATTTTAATTATGATGTGTCTTGGTGTGGTCCTCTTTGGATTCCTTTTGTTTGGGGTTCTCTGTGCTTCCTGGACTTGTAAATCTATTTCTTTCACCAGGCAGGGGAAGTTTTCTGTCATTATTTCTTCAAATAGGTTTTCAATATCTTGCTCTCTCTCTTCTTCTGGCACCCCTATAATTCGGATGTTGGTACGCTTGAAGCTGTCCCAGAGGCTCCTTGCACTATCTTCGTATTTTTGGATTCTTTTTTCCTTTTGCTTTTCCGGTTGGGTGTTTTTTGCTTCTTTGCATTTCAAATCTTTGACTTGATTCTTGCGATCCTCTGGTCTGCTGTTGCGAGTCTGTATAATATTCTTTATTCCAGTCAGTGTATGCTTAATTTCTCTTTGGTCCTTTATCACAACATCGAGGGTCTCACTAGATTTCTTGAGGATCTCACTACATTTATCATCGGTCTCACCAGTCTTTTTGAGGGTCTTACTAAATTTATCGACGGCTTCTAGAAAGTTCTTGAAAAACCTTAAAAGTGTGGTTTTGAACTCTATATCCAGCAGTTTGCTTTCCTCCATTTCTGTCATTTGTGTCCTGTTTCTTTGTCTCCGCATTTTTTATGCTTCCTTGTGTTGATAAAGTGGTTTTCTGTGCTAAGTGTCCGCTGGGGCCCAGTGGTTCAGCCTCCCCAATTACCTGAGGAGGACACTTTTGGTGCTCCCCCTTGTGGTCTTTGTGCACAGTCTTGTTGTAGTTAAGCCTTGATTGTTGTAAGTAACACTGGGAGGGATGGACCTCCAGGCTAATTGGCTGTGAGAATTAGCTGTGTCTGCAGTGGGAGAACTTCTGTCCTGGAGCTCTAGGGAGGTGCTAATCTAGCCTCTGCCTGAGGCTATCCAGCAAACACCTCCATGCAAGGCTTGGGCGGGGCAGGTCCCAGGGGATCAACAGGGCGGGCGGAGCGAGCAGTTATGGCTGCTCTCAGTCCTGCCTTCAGAGGCCCTGCTTCTCAGTGTCCCAGCAATTGCTGCAAGTACCTCCGAGAGAAAGCTGCCCTCGAGTTCCGACCGATGCCAGACAGTCCCGCTTCTCCCGTATGAGTCTAGGTCCCCAGAGACTCGCCTGGAACTGGAGCTCAGAGCCTGAGACTCCTTCCCGATAGAAAAAGACAACCGCGCCCTCAGCCACCAGCCCGCTCCACATGCGCCTCTGTACCTTAGTATTTTACTTCCGCACCGCACCTCCTCTGAGTCTCGGTATGCTTTTCTCTTTCCTTCTAGTTGTAGAATTTCCACTCAGCCAGCCTTCCTGTGGTTCTGGGTGATGTCTGTTCTGTCTTTTAGTTTTATTTTTGAAGTGGTTGTGCGAGGCAGCAAACTCCAGTGTTTACATATGCCGCCATAATGGTTTCTCCCCGAAAATCAAGATGTGTTTTTAGGACACAGGATATGACCTATCTTGTAGAAAGTTCGGTGGATGCTTGGAACTTTGAAGAAAGGGGGTTTGCCACAGGACCATTGGGAATCGCACAATTATCAGTTAGATTCAGGTCAAGTGATGTCTGGAGAACTGCAGGGGATACAAATGATAAACTCACAATTCTGTGGTACTGTGAATTCTCGTTTTCTTTAATGACTGCTGCTATTTACTTTTCAGGGTCCTCAAATAGCGGCTCCATGAAGTCTACCCAGGTTTTGTAGTTACATTCAGTGGGAGACAGGGTAGAGTGTGCTTTCTCCATATTACTTGGAACCAGACTTGTTGCTAACCTTTGATCCAGTAATCCTCTTTGGAGCAGCTGCTCTTCTTAGGAGATAATCCAGAAGAAATATGCATGTGCATGATTTCATAATAGTAATATGAAAACAACTTATATGGCCAAAACGGGAAAGAAGTAAATGTATTGATACAATAGAATTTAATTTAAGTCTTTAAGATTATAAGTATGGTAGCTATAAGAGTGTTTGGGAAATGATGCTGAGAAAAAAGTAGTCCCGAACCTTGGATTGGAATTACAAATATTCATTAATATTTTGTGTATGTATATCATACACAAAACTATGCATATATGAATCCGAAGAGCATTTAAAAGTGAAAATAGTTCTTGAAATTATGAATAACTTTTTAAAATAGACAAATCATTTATTTGGTAAGGCATGAAAATGAATTCTCCAATGCCTCTTCTCTCTTCTGGTGGCTGAAATGAACACTGGTGGTCAAATGGATAGAAATATACACGAATCCCTTGCAGACCTTGATCTTTTGCAGAAATACAAAGATGTCTGAGTCCCACAATTTACAGTAAGTATTTTCTAGACAGAAGTGCCAAGTGTGTTTTCCAATGTATTAGTGGTTGCTACATTCTCCTCCCTAGCTTCAGGTTTTACGGGAGGAAACACAGTGCTTCTGTAATGTTACTGGAGACTGTGAGAAACATGGTGATGCGATGTGGTTACTACCCAAACCCCAGCCAGCTGTGGGCACTCCATGGCAGTACAGAGCTTTTCATCTATGAACACGGCCTCCTCCTCATCAGTGCCTTTGATCTGCTCTTCCTTACCCTCCTTCCTCCATCTCTCTCTTCCTTCAAAATTTTTAAGGGTTTATTTGAGGCAAAACTGATGGTAGTTGCCAGGAAGCAAGGTCTCAGATGCTTCTGTTTTGTTCTTTAAAAAACTGCTTGCTGCTGCATGGAACTGTTTAAGTCATTGTAGGTACTGCCCACTTCCTTCTTCGTGACAAATAGCTCAAAGTGCTCAGTGAGACCCAGAGTGGTCCGTTTGGCCAAACATCTATCGGTGGGTGATCACAGATGAATATGGGGTTGCTGGGCCTCACTTTCATGAACTCTCTGACAAGATTATCAAAGAGTCTAGCTGTGGCCTGAGGTAAAGGACATTCAATAGCTTTTGCCACACAGGTATTATTAAGAATTTTTTTTTAGTTTCTTCAGTTCTGAAGAAGGTTTGTTCCTGGCAGGCTAGTTCCTCACAGGGCTTTCTCACGTGCTTCTACCATGCTGACTCTGTAGATGGGGTGAAGCCAGTCTGATGGGTTTGGCCTGCTGGGCCATTGGGATGGTGGATGTGATCTTGTCTGTAATGTGCTTCACCATCCCTGACATAATCTCCATGGTTTCAGGAGATCATCATGATCTGTAGAGGCCATGTGAAATTCACAGGTGGTGAATTAGAGTCAAATCATCTGGAACTGGCATTCAATTTCACAAACCGGGACAATGCCACTGCTCACCACCATCTTATGGCAGAGTTCTGGAGCAATTCTTGTATGTAAGTTCATGTCCAGCTTATTTAGCGAGGTGACAAAAAACTTGGGCACATCTCCACTAGAGATGGCATTCATCCTAGGAATTTCAATGTCTAGGAATCCCAGCTTATCAAAATCTTCTTATACATGTGATGCTATTACTGTGGATGATAAATTTCTTCTTTGCAAAGTCATTCAGGTCCAAGCCTAAGTATCTCCAATGATGTGTTTCTTTGTCTTTGAGGCCAAAGTGAGGATTAGGTGACATATATGAGCATTGAGGCAATAGTGTCATTTTATGGAGAATGACGCTCTGCAAACCCTTCTTCTTTTTTCCAGGATTCTCTCGAACTCCAATTATGTCTTCCGAGGCAGTCTGTTATCGATATAAATAAATTCTTCTGATTTAAAATTCCTTGAATTGGCCATGACTTGCAACTTCACCTGTACTCGAAGGGCACAGAAGATGAACCCCCCCCAGGGGGGTTCATCTGGCATAGAGACTACCTACCCCTTAAGGTGATGTTGGTCAGGTGGTCAGTAGGTGCAGCAAGCGAGCGGGTCTACATGGAGCCTGTGTGGTGCGGGTCTCCTCAGCACTCAGCATGTTGTGGGCGCTCTACTGTGTTCTTGCAGTGTTAATGGGGGCCCTGTAGTGTGGATGGGGGCTTCCTGCAGTGTGGATGGAGGGGGCCTGCTGTGTGGATGGGGTCCTGCAGTGTGGATGGGGGGGTCCTGCAGTGTGGGTGGGGTTCTGCGTGTGAATGGGGGGTCCTGCAGTGTGGGTGGGGTTCTGCAGTGTGGATGGGGGTCCTGCAGTATGGGTGGGGTTCTGCAGTGTGGATGGGGGTCCTGCATATGGGTAGGGGTCCTGCAGTGTGGATGGCCGCTCCACTGTCTGTTTTCAGTGTTGTGGTGGTGGCAGCAGCCGGGCCTACCTGTCTCTCTTGGAGCTGCTGCTTGGCCTCCTTCTCTGCTACTTTCTCTTCAGCTTTCAAGTGTCTTCAGTTCATTCTTTCCCAGTTTCACTTGCCGCCATTCACTGCCACCTCATGTCCTTATGGTGGCCATGTTTCCCCAGGGCCCTACCCAAGGTAGGTGAGGCTTATTAGCAACTTTCAGGGAAGCCTTTGCTGTCGTGTGCCTGTGCGCCATAGCTCTGAAGGCTGCAACTCAGGTGCCAGACGTCAAATATGGCTGTGGCCATGGATCTGGGCAAAAACCAATGGCTCCCGTGTGTGTGTGTGTGTGTGTGTGTGTGTGTGTGTGTGTGGCCCAGTCCAGGGAGGTGTTTGGCCAAGGGCCATGAAATAATTTTAAATAAACTTGTTATGTTTTAGAATAGATTTAACAATACTTGGGGGGGGGGAAAGGACACTTATGTAATACCCTTTGTAATACTTTTAGCGAAAAAAAAAAAATCAAACCAATTGAAAAAAAAAAAAAACAATACCTTCAGAAGTTCTCATAATTCTTATAACCAATTTTTGGCCAGACCTTCTCAACTTCCTACCCATAAAACAAGGAGATATGTGGTGGGTGAGGAAACAGGAATGAAATCCTTACAAGTGGTAGAAGGAGACAGACTCCCAACCTCCCACCCCAGAAAGCCTCTCCTGAGCTGTGCTCTGTGGCGGAGGCCACAGCACAGAAGGGCATGGAGTGAAGGCCCAGCGTGGTCGACACTGACAGCCTCCATAGACAGGTAACAGGGCCGGACAGCATCTCTATTCAGGCCCAGCACCATCCACAACTGGTCTCCCCGTCTCACCAACCCTTACCGTCTTCTCCGTGTCCTCAAAGACTTCTCGGATCTCTTCGTAGTCGCAAGTCTCTTCCACACACTCACTTTCAAGGTCTTCTCTTTTTGTCTCTTCAGATAATGAATTGACCCTGTCCAGGAAGCTGTTGGCATGTTCCCGGTTGATGAACACTGGAAGACAGGGAAGCACACAAAGTACTTTATCAAATTCTCAGGTCACCCTCCTGCTTCAAAAGGCTGAGAACTCCTTCCTTAGGCACCAGGGAGCTGGGAAAGAAATGCCCATCTCCCTCCTGACTCCTCCTTGAGTTACATACAGTGCCTGTTCTAGACCCCACACACCCTTTTCTAAAGAAGTAGACACATCCCATCCAATCCACTACCACCCTCCCTGCACACTCACACCCAGCTTTAGGGTGGTCAATGTAAACCCCCTCTCCTGAACTCTCCCTTCTCAGAGTGGTTCCAGGCCACTGTCACCTCCCTCCCCCCAACCGGCTACTCCACTCTGTGCTTTGGCTCAGACTGTGCCCCTCCACTCTCGTCCTCACCCTGAGCCTCACCCACCCTGCAAGGGCTCAGGTCAGAGTTCAGTAGGGAGTTGTGAAACTTTTGATCACGATCTACAATTAAAGGTATGATTTATATCAAGTTCCAGGACTCCCAAATATAAATTAAAACAGAAGTTTTGCCCTAGCTGGTTTGGCTCAGTGGATAGAGCATCAGATTGTGGACCAGAGGGTCCTCAGTTCAATTCTGGTCAGGGCACATGCTTGGTTGCAGGCTCCTCCCCGGCCTGGGCTGTGATCAGAGTGTGTGAGGGAGGCGATCAATCGATGTGTTTCTCTCACATTGATATTTCTCTCTCTTCCACTCTCTCTAAAAACCAATGGAAAAATATCCTCAGGTGATGATTAAAAAACACAGCAAAACAACACCAGACGTTTCAATCCGGGTGGTGTGGCTCAGTTGGTTGGAGTGTCGTCCGTGACACCAGAAGGTGGCAGTTTAGATTCCCAGTCAGGGCACACACTCAGGTTGTGGGTTCCATCCCTGGTCAGGGCATGCATAGGAAGCAATTGATGTTTCTCTCTCATTTCCTTCCTTTCTGTCTCAAATCAATGAAAACATATCCTCAGGTGAGAATTACAAAGAAAAATAACAGCAATAAAAAAAACAAAATAGAAGTTTCAAGAAATAATATTTACTATAATTTTCTACAAAATAGTACTTATTACAAAATTTTCTACTTGATTCTGTTATTTTTCATTAAAAGTAAAACCCCACTAAATTGATTTCATGACTCACAAATGAGTCATGACCTGCCAGTTAAAACGTCTTGGGTCAGAGAGCCTCTGAGTCCTCCCTGTGGTCTCTATCTGCAGCTGGCTTGTCCCCACTCTCTGCCTGAGTCTTATCTCTCCCTCACTCACCACTCCTTTCTTCTTTCCATTGTGATACAGGAGGCCCTCAGATTCTTTTCCTCGCCCTCTGCACTCCTCTCTCTTTTTTCCACTGAAGAGTTTAGAGTTTCACCATAATACTCTCCACGTTGGTATTGCTAGTCCCAACTTTCATCCCAGCTCTATGCTTTCAACTCTCTCATCGTGGTGGATATCTCCCCTCATCTCAAACTCCAAACTCCCCATGTCCAAAACCAAAACACACAGCCAGTGCTG